AGGGGGTATTTTTAGTATAAATTGTCCCTTTTTTGGATATAGCCAGGGGGTATTTTTAATATAAATTGTCCCTTTTTTTGGATGGTCCTTTTTTCAAAGGCAATTTCAATTAAAGGAGGAATTTTTTTCTGGAGACGTTTTTGCATAAAATCAGACTGGAACCAGAAAATCCGACTGGAACCAGAAAATCAGACTGGAACCAGAAAAAATTCCTTTAAAATAAAGTTTAAAATGGTAGGACTTTATTTCCAGAGACTTTTTCTTTCAAGGACTTATTTTTCACAGGACTTTATTTCCGAAAACTTTTTTTCAGAGAACTTTTTTGGCGGTTACCGCCTTTTATCCTTCAAGTGCCCCCCCCCCATCCATACAAAAACTTCTTATTCCTGGTCACAGGACCACATGGGAAAGGTTAGGTTTGAAAACCCATTAACAAAAAGAAAATCTGTCATTTTCTATTTTACAATAAATCTAGGGGACGCCAAACATTAATAGCCCCCTTAGCTCCTAGGGGGGGGGGGCAAAATTTGAACTATAAATTCAAAACATTTGATTTCTTCGATATTTTAAAGATACATACAGTCCAATTACCTTGCAAGTACTACTTTATCTCTTCATTAAACAAAACCAGTAGAAAAAATACGCAAGCTATTTTTTTTAATGTTTTTCACTCTTCAGTTTCAGATTTGAAAAGTGTGATAGCTCTGAGTTCTCAGGGGGCATTGCCCCACCTTGCCCCCCACCCTTCCTGCTTACGCCCTTGGTATTGTATCAAGAAACCCAAGAGACAGGTGAAGCGAATTAATATTTAGAATAAGAGGCAAAAATTACAAAGTTACCCCTTAAACCATTTAGGGATCAATGATGTGGAAGATATTGTCGCTTTAACAGTGTTCATTTCTGATGATTTGTATTTGTTTTTCTGTATTAATAATGCACAAGTCAAAATTGTAGAGAAATAAACAGTTTTCAAAATTATAAAATTCATATCTAATTGATATTTGATCATTGTGCCATCTTTGTGACGGCTATTTGTAAATATTAATCTAGCAGTATATAGAGCCCTGTTTTAAAATGGCCATACATTTATCTACAATGGTGTTGTAACAACTGACCCATGGCCTTGTTAAGAAAATTCTAGAAGTTCTCAATGTTTGTATTTGTCGTCTTCCAGATCAAAAGGATCAAAAGAACAAAAATATATTTTCTAATTTTTTTCTTTTATTTGTAATTTGATACGATAATCATTTTAGAGAATCTAATATTATTTATATACAAAATTTACATAAATTAGCATGTTTTCCTTAAATTGTTGAGAAAATTCTAGAAAAATAAGTCTGTAAAAACAAAGAGAATGTATAATCAATTCTCTTTGTGTATAAATTGTCGTGATGCAAACAAGAAGAACAAAATATTTTAATTAATTCCAATTTTGCGAGACAATTAAAATTACACAAATATTAAGCATTTTATAAGAATAATATAATAGTTTAGAAATTAAGTAAATAATTAAAAGTAAAAAACAACTATTCAATGCTCATCTTTTTTAGTAAGTTTTAGAATTCCAAATTCGGTGATGTGATGGTCCAAACCTCTGTTCCACAATTTATTGAAAATATATTTCGGTCTAGGTTGAATCTCGTCAGTTCTATACGATATATTAACCATCAAAATCGATGTTAAAAACCACAAGAAAATAAACAAACAAAAAAGATTATTTATTTAAAAAAATAAAAAATGGGCTGTCAAATGGACAAAAGGGAAACGAACTTAGATCAATTAGATGGGAAAAAAGATAATTTGCAAATATTCACTTTTTAAAGAATGTATTAAGAAAATTATTATACTTTGAGATTGTTTCTGTCATGAAGATTAAAAACAAACTGTTTAGTTTAGATGTATAGTGTATATCGTGGTGGTGGGGATCGATCTAATTAACGCGTTTCACATAAATCAGGGGGGGGGGCGGCTTGTCTAAGGAGTATTTAAACCATTTAAAGAATTGGAAATAAACAATATTCTTTCTTTATGTTTTCTAGAGTAGTATTCCCTGTAAGGCTAATCAAGGAAATAATTTGTAGAATTTTTTTTTTTGCAGAAGTCATAAAAATTACTTGACAAAAAATGTTGATTTTCAAACATAAAAAACATTTGAATAAAAAACTGCTCGCATTGAGTTTATTTAAGAAAAGATTCAATAGATGTCTGCAATGCATAGTGCATATGTATAATATTGGATGGAAACGTCAGTTTTATTTGCTTTGAGAGCGATTAAAAACTTTGAAAAAAATAGTAATTAAGAAGCGAACAAATTCTGTGCCACAAATTCTAATTTTTTGATCAGTATATCTTATCAACCTGATGTTGTAGACCTTTAATATTTATAATATGATTTGAGACTTTATTATTTTTATTATCAGGGAGTCTTTACTTTTCCCTGTGGTGTAAAATTAAATAGTTATGAACAGAATTTATAGTTTCCAGAGGAAATACTTAAAATATTAATTTTTTGAAAAAAATGCATGTTGATATTTTTTACAAATAGTAATTCTCTTTGGTTGGAATGACGACCGCAAGCCTCTCATCTCCCCATAATTGGGCCTTGAAAGAATTTATTAATTTCATAAGGCATAATAATATAAAAGTTATAGCTAATTATTTAGTGGTACTTCTTAAACTCCTCCTATTTATCAAGAATAAATATTTTCTTGTTTAAATATTAAACTTATATCTCACCCAGGCAAATAGATATTTCTACTGCTAACAAAATTTTTACATTAGTTCTAAGAAGAAACCGTCATCTTTATATCAGAAATTTACATGTACAGATATTAAACAATGTAATTGGTCTCAAAAAACAAACAAAAAAGAAACAACAATTAAAATGTCTAACAGTATAATAAGAATTGACAAGAATCTAAAATTTTCAAGAAATCCACAAAAGAAAAGTGTAAATAAAATGAAATTTTGATTGAAAAGCATAAGAAATGAAAATATGGTTTGAATGGGACACGGTATTATAAATACTAAAGAAATAATGATATTTTTGGTAGAAATAATATAAATATGAATGATCTTCAAGGTTTGGGGAAGACAATTTATTTAATTGAAGAATTGTCCTCAAGCTGTTTGAAAATAATCCTCAATCAAGTTTAAGAACAGCACTTCATCTACTTCAAGGTGTCCAGGACTAACAAACTTCTTCATCTAATCCACCTCTTCTTTTATATTATTCATTATATGACGGAGGAAGCATTCCTTCTTGTGTAGTTTCCAGTCAATTGCTTCTGGCAGTTTGTGGACCACAGTAGCGTCTCAGGTTACATCTGGAGCAATTCTTGAACTTAAACACCCAGTCCAGATGAACACAGGAGTTGTTTCCACATTTGATCACAAACTGGTCCTCATCAACTATATTTATTCTCTCTGACAGAGGAGTAAACTCCGGGATATTCTCTTAGATTCTGTCAACCGTCTTTCCATCCAGGATTTCCTTCAACGCAGAGTGCTGCACTGACCCATAGTAGTGAACAATTGGCCAGTATGTGGTTGGATCCTTAGCAAGCTGTAGAGGATGTAGATCCATGGGTTGTAAAGCCATGACACGGATAGCTGCTATGAGCTCATATTTTCCATAGTTCCAGAAATAATCTTGTTTCCTTTCTCCTGACTCCAGGGTAAATATAACAATGTAAAATTGACTAGTATTTGATTCATCTCTACTAAAGAGAAAACTGTTCTCATAAACACTCAGAATCCTTTCCCGAGCCAGCTGTGCACATTGAGTGCAGGTGTTACCAAGACTTATTACGTCATGCTCACACATATACATTGGGTGATCATGGTGCATTCTCAGTAAATATCCTTGATCAAATACAGCAGCTTAGCATCCATCCTTACTCCTGGATCTATCCTAGCCACTGTATTATCCTCCTCATTGTAGAGATCAGCCTTCCATATAAAGATAAGGTTCTCCACTGGTTTGAAGCAAAAATCATGCTTCATGTTTTAGAAATTTTTAGAAAGACACATTATCTTAGAATAGGGATTACAAGATTTCAGAAGGTAATAAATAGACTGGGACCAAGAGACTCCATTTCTGAAAACAATTAACCTCTGAATAACTAAGCTATACTCATGCTAAAACCTTGTATTGCACCTGTTTTTGGCAAACCCTGTCAAATATAAAATACGATATCCAGAGAAAATAGTACTAAATTGTAAACTTTTATATTGTTTAATGTAATTTTGCTTTAGACAAATATAAATGATGAATATATATTTGTTATATTTTAAATAATGATATTTATATATTTCCAAATTTAAGTTATATTATGGTTGGTCCACTTAACTATATATCATATCAAATACTTTCATCTGGAGAATCCTCAAAATAGTTATTTTTATATTTTCAGTCTAGTTTGAGATGATAAAATTTCCTTGGTTTGGATTAAATTTACTTTTCCTCTATCAGATAAAAGAATGCATTTGAAAAAAATATGGTTAGGATAAAATAATATATTTTTAATTATTATACAATGAAATATCATTTTGTCAATGGGATAAGATTAAGATTTCTTAAGATATATTTTCATGTCATTTAACTACTCTGCTCACAATAATTAAGTGTTGAAAAAAGTTCTTAATTTTATCAAGAATTATAAAAATACAGTTTAATTTTTAGTCTTAAAATTTTTCTATTTGATTTTTAAGATTCCTTAAAAATGTAAAAATAAGTCGCTCTTAGATATTCCTTCCTGCAATACCTTCAATAAGAATTGTAATATTGTGATGAATGGTCACAAAAAAATCTTTAAATGTAAATTAAACCTCTTTTGGTTAAGCTGAACCCATTTTGGGCAAAAAAGTTGATTCAGTGTCCGAATTTAATGAATTTGAGCTGCGTCTTTAATCCGCCAAAAACCGGTTTCAATTGAGAGCCGGCTTAAATCTTGAAACATTGAATACAATTTTAAGTGAAACCAACCATAATTGAGCCGCGGCTTAAATTTAAGACGCCGCTCAAATTCTTTAAATTCGGCCTCAGGTTTTTTTCTTGATTTATTTGACAAATATTAGAATTGCAAGAATGATGGTTAGGAATGAAGTTTGGATTGAGTTTGAACCATTACAATTCTCCTTCTCTCTGTTCTTACAACAGGTCACCTAAATATTTTAAAAGATTATGTCTTTTTTATTGGATTATTTAAAAAAAACAGTTTGTATAATTCCTTTATTGTACTCTTTGAGCCTCGGTCTTTTATTAATTATTTTATTTTTGAAACCTTTCAACTAAAAATCTCCTTCTGGAGCTCCATTAAAGGGATTGTTCATCTATTTGAAATCATACTTAAAATAATGGGACTAAAATTGTCAAAAAAAGCAATAATCATTTTTAATCATTATGTGTATTTGATGTTGATGAAGATCAAATATAGGTTCACCATAGTATATCTTATTAAAGATGAAATAATTTAATGAATTTGCTGGTTTTATATTTACTGATCCATTTAAAATCATATTCATGACTTGACAAGTTTTGAATTTAAATAGTCCAATTAACATAAGACACGGAAATTGTGCAGTGTTACCAGACCCATTTCGCGTAATTTGATAATTGGTATTAGTAAAACTATTTGCTTTCTAACACCATTAAATTTACTTATTTCTAGCTTAATCATGTCTAACAGTCGTCTTCTACAGTTATAAACAATCCATTTATATACAATAAGAACCATAAAACTGTGGAATAGGAAGAAGACTTTTAGACTCAAGTTTAGACTTTAATTAATTAACATGAGACACGGCAATTGTCCAGTGAAAACAGACCCATTTCACTTAATAAGTGATTTTATTAAGTTACTATAGTATAATTATTTGCAAAGTAACAACATAGAATATATGTCGTCTTCCAATTCCACAGTTATCTGGTTCTTTACTGTTCAACTAACCTGACCCTTAGCAGCTACACCAATATTGGTCCCTTCACTTTCACAAGCAGAATCAGCATCATAAACTGTTCCACAATATCGGGCAGACAGCTTACGGTTAGAACTATCCCCTAGTATCATTATTATTACTTTTATTATTCATCATAAATTGTTCCACAATATCGGGCAGACAGCTTACGGTTAGAACTATCCCCTAGTATCATTATTATTACTGTTATTATTCATCATAAACTGTTCCACAATATCGGGCAGACAGCTTACGGTTAGAACTATCCCCTAGTATCATTATTATTACTGTTATTATTCATCATAAACTGTTCCACAATATAGAGCAAACAGTTTACGATTAGAACTTTATTATTCATCATAAACTGTTCCACAATATCGGGCAGACAGCTTACGGTTAGAACTATCCCCTAGTATCATTATTATTACTGTTATTATTCATCCTAAACTGTTCCACAATATTGGGCAGACAGTTTACGATTAGAACTATCCACTAGTATCATTATTATTACTGTTATTATTCATCATAAACTGTTCCACAATATCGGGCAGACAGCTTACGGTTAGAACTATCCCCCTAGTATCATTATTATTACTGTTATTATTCATCATAAACTATTCCACCATATTGGACAGACAGCTTACGGTTAGAACTATACCCCTAGTATCATTATTATTTGTGTTATTATTACTTGTTTTTATTATTATTATTGTCATCTTTGTTACTACTATTATCATTATATTGTTATTTTTATTCTTATTTTTGTTATCATTATTATTATTATTACAGTGAAACCCTTAATAACGAATACATCGGAAGAATTTATTAAATTTCGTCTTGACAATTTTTCCAATGAGTTTTATCAAATAGATTGTCAAGTACAATAGGTGGCAACAGAGAAATTAACCAATTATACACGACGTCACAAGTGTCAAATATAACAAGAAAAGCGAAATTTTCTCACATTAGTTGACATGTTTTCCAAGATTAAACAAAAAAGTGTAAAAACAGAAACTAAAGAACACATAAAATTGCACTTATTTTATTTTTAGAAAAGCACCGTATTCTAAAATTATCACTATAACTGATGATTTTGTCGGACACAAAAACTGAATTGACACTTTTGACGACAGAATACAACTGTACTGAGAGTGTACACATTCTACGTTGCCATCTATTGTACTAGAATCTATTTGAGTTTTATACTATATTTCGTAAATTTCAGTATTTGCGAAAATAAATAAATATATATCCATGAATATGCAGGAACATTTATATAGAGTTCCATAAAATCATTTAATTAAAAAACTAAATATCTGCAACATTCCATTATCAGAAAGTGAAGAATACGACATTTGATGAATTCTTTTGATGTATTCGTTATTAGGGGTTTCACTGTATAATAAAATCAATTTTAAGGTTTTGCAATGATCAAATTATCTAAATAATTGTATACATGATTTTAAGTAATTATTTTAGAGTAGTTCACTATTTTGCCAAATGTATATCTATATCTATTTATGCTACCGCCTTGTGTTATTATGCGGGACAATATGTTTTTTTTGCAGAGATTTTTACCTTTTTTGTTTGTTTAAACCATAGATAAATAAATAAACATTGCTATAGCTTATGTACGCAAAATCACCAAGAATTGTACAGTCCGTAAACTCTATACTTCTAGGGGTCAAAGTGTACTTCAATGATAAGCGGGGAATAACTCTGATTTTGGAATAGGAATATATAATAGGTTGGATACAGGATGACTCACGAAACATGACAGTTTTTAAAGTTGTTTAATACCAAAGACAATTATAAAAATATTTTATAGGAGTCATATTATAATTAACTTCAAAATAAAATATATTTGCGCAAAAGATTTTTTAACCAAATAAACTGTATACAGCATTTAATATCTAGTACAGTGTAGGAAGACGACATTTAAAACTATTTACCAACCGTCATGTTTCGTGGGACACCCTGTATATAAATCTATTTATAATTCAAATTCCATGAAAATGCACGATTTTTTTCATGAAAATCCGCGAAATATATGAGGAAACCTGCTTTGCCGGTTTAAAATGTAACTCGGAACAACTAAGAAACTATCATACCCGTGATCATGCAATTGTGAGTAAAAATTCAGGATACAAATTCTCTTAAAATTGAATAAAAGATATTCGAAAGACGACATTTGAATATACCTGACATTTCATTTATGCAATATTCCTGATCTGCTTTACATGCTGTTGGTACACCTACAAATACAATGAGACATGGATATGGTTTTATTATTTTTGGACTTTCAAGAAGATCTACAAATATCTGGGAATTTTGACATATTTCAAAATATATAGTATGCTCTATTAGTTTACTTTCGTCGTGCTTTTAAACACTTATTTAAGAGAACCATTAATTTGATGAATTGTTTTCGGTAAAATCTTTCCTTTTATTTATAAAAACAAAATGTCCTCATTCTGGTTTTCCTTGTACATGTTATTATAAAATAAGAAAAAGAAAGTTTTTTTTGCTGTTACTAGTTTTCTAGGGCGCGGTTATCTTCAATTTTGAATTAATTGCTGCTCTAGCCGCAGCATTTTCCCTTCTAAAATTTTCAAACAAACATCAACAACTTATTTCGCTGATTTTTTTTTCTCGTGGATTTGGAAAAAAACTAGTATTATTTAAAGCAAATTTGGGAAGTTCTGATCATCTATTAACCTTCTTTTGGGTCATGTGAGGTAACACAAAAAGCGTGCGCCCGATCGATACAGCTGACTCGACCGACAAGCAAAGTATACAAATAGATAAATTGGTCCACCAAAGTTTTTTTCACGTTACTGTTGGGTCTTCAGTTATATCATATTTTTATCCTTGTAAGGTCGTCTGAATGAACCAATAGGTCGTCTTTTAGTTGCAATAGGTCGTCTTTCAGTTCCAATAGGTCGTCTTTTAGTTCAATAGGTCGCCTTTTAGTTGCAATAGGTCGTCTTTTAGTTGCAATAGGTCGTCTTTTAGTTGCAATAGGTCGTCCTTTAGTAGCAATAGGTAGTCTTTCAGTTGCAATAGGTCGTCTTTCAGTTGCAATTGGTCGTCTCTATGTTTTACCTGGATAGTCCTCAGAGCATAGATAATTAGGTCCTTGACACTCTATACATCTAAGAAAAGAAATTATATTAAATAGAATAACAACAAATACAAATACAGGGTTACGGAAAAAATATGAGACTATGAAATAAACCAATTGGAATGTGTAATTTGACCTTGTGCAATAAATGCTAAACGCTAAATAAATTGGGACCGAAAAAAAGTAGTTTCCAGGTGCAGAGAATCAAAACCTTATGTAAAAGGTTTGCATAAATTCTGTACAGTCGTCTTTGATTTTGCATAAATTCATGTACGTGTTCTATTTACTTAAATATTCCAGTAGTAACCGTTATCTCAAACATACAAAAAAGTTAAAGTTTCGTACAAAACCTTATTTAATATTAATGCAATGCAGTCGACAATAAAGTAATTTTATCATTTTTGTCAGAATAAAATTTTTCAAAAAACCTAAAAAGTCCATCATCGTTGCAAGTATTTTCTCCACAAAACCTTTTCTTACAGCTGGCGCCACAGTTTTCACTACAATAATAATAATAATAATAATAATAAAAATAATAATCGTAAAAAATATTACGGTAGTCCTTTGCTTTGCTGTGTCAGATTAACTTTAACCCAGGACCTAAAACAAAATTTTAATTTTCTAACTCAAAAAACATTCTTCAAGATGTTGATTTTAATTTAACTTCAAAACTTTTTTACCACCTTTTAATCAACATTACCGACCCATGATTCCCTTAGCAGAGGGGCGTATCTTAACGTCCCTTGGGATAATTAAGCAAATTAACCACTCGCTCTGCGAAGTTTCCATGAACAAATTTGCGCATTTTCATCTCAAAAGACCAATTCATAACTTTTTTTATTTTTTCATGATCTTTTTTAAAAATTTTCTAATAGCTACGTTTTTGCAAGCTGATGATCATTTTCAAACTTAGATCATTTGATCAATACAGAATTTAGAGTTTGAAACTTCTAACGTATAAGTTATTGGGTTGCAAAGATGTAATAATTAGAAAATCAGAGTTTAATTCTAAGATTTATTTCCTTTAAAGTGAAATTATCTTAAGTTTGACGTGAACCCCCCCCCCCCCCACCCACTCTTCACTCTTTAGTAATGTACATCTTAATATTCAGACGAAAAAAACTCACCAATCCGAGAGCGCCAATTTGTTTGTGTAAACACATTTTCTATAATATTGGGGGAGTTTATCTCGACCTAAAACAAGGAAGGTTATTCCTGAAAGGGACTATTCAAGTAATTTTAAGTGACCCTCCATTTACAATTCACTGTACACTGAAAAAAACCTGATAAACACAGTTTCGATATTGCCACGGAAAATGAGAATTTATTGCGTTCGCAATATGACTACACTACGATATATTGCGTATGCAGTTGCGAGTCCTCATTTTCTTATTTTTTCAAAACCTTTTTCTGACTAACATAAATAGATCCAATCTGCAATGACACCTTGAACCAATTTTTAATGATTGGGTCAACTTTGAAGTGTCGCAAAGCCTTGGCTATACTGGCTAAATATACTTGATTGCATGATCCGAACCAACACAAGGATTGTCTGGTGTAGTGTCTAGTGTCTACTCGTACAGCCCCGTCTAGTGTACCCAAGTGTCATTAAAAGTAATTGGAAAAATTCTCAAAGAATTTTTCGAAAAAGCAACCTTTGGACAAATAAGGAAGATTTTATCCAATCCTGAAAATGAAAATTATTAATTTAATAATTTAATAATTAATTTAATAAATGAAAATACAAGAATATCTGCAATATTTTTGCCAGAATAACGGATCTAAATCAGGTATATGTATCTCTTTAAATGAAGGGTCACTTGAAATTATGTCAAAAGTCCCTAAAAAAATATAATTTTTGTTTGTTGATGAAAAAAAAATACTGTTTTGTGGAAATAGAAATGATATAAAAAAGAAGTAAAACATAACATATCAGGTTTGGACCATCTGTACGGTTTGGAACTTTCGTCCCCTGAACTTTTTATTTTTACTATTTCTTTATACACTTTCCAGGGGAAGTCATGAAATTATGTTAGAGCATATAATTAATATTTAGCATGTTGCAAACAGTTCAACTTTTTTTAAATTTTGGAAATTCCAAAACTTTTGAGATTTAGATGATTAAAGTTAATTAAATACATCGAAGAGGCTTTTAATAAAAAACAATAAAACTAGAAAAACCCTTGAAACTAAATAATTCTCTCAAATATAAAAATGTACAGTGAAACCCTTACTAACGAATACATTGGAAGAATTTATTAAATGTCGTCTTGACAATTTTACGATGAGTATTGAGTTTTATACTATATTACGTAAATTTCAGTATTTGCGAAAATAAATAAATAGCCATGAATCTGCGGGAACAGTTTTAAAGAGTTCCATATAATAATTAAATTAAAAAACTAAATATCTCCAACATTCCATTATCAGAAAGTGAAGAATACGACAATTGATGAATTCTTTTGATGTATTCGTTATTAAAGGGAGTGTTGAAGAATTGTTTTCCTTTTCACTAAACTAAAACAGTTCATATTTCCTGTGATTTTCATCCGCTTCTTGATTCTTCTACGGGCATTGAATAACGAACAAAAATATGAAAAATACTTGGTGGAATTTAAACAGCAAAAAAACTAAATTAAAATAACAATGTTTTAAATTGTTTAGCTGAATATTGTCTTACCTAGTCTAGTGAAGTAAATACAGGCGTTTTCGGGTTCATCTTTTAAAGGGACAATTTCCGATTTAAAATGTCTGAGTTTGTTTTAATCTTGAAAGTTTAGTAAATAAAAATAAATGATAGATTTACAAAGATTATTTTTTAACTTTTCGTAAAATATTAAAGTCGTAGATTTTCCCTTTAACCATGGTGTTCAGGATATCCATGACCATCTCGAGGAGTTGGAGGGAGGTGGTGGTTGAGTTGATCAGGCTTCCTTTAGCTCTTTACAACAAATACAATGTAAACTTGCCTCAAACAATAATTGTTTTATCCATATATCTTAGCAACCTCGTAGCGTAGATATTTGACATTTCAAATTATAAATGGTTAGTGGTCATCTGTAAAAGTCAATTCTGCAATATGAAAAGTCAAAGGTTCATAAGATGTAGGATTTAGAAAATTAGAGTTTGAGTTTATTAAATGGAAACTATTTTAGTTAATATGGTTTAGGTCCAAATTTAGAGAATTCTGCAGAACTACTTACTGAACACTTTAAACGGAATCGTTCTATTATCGAACAGATTTTTTACAGAAAATTTACAAGTGTGGGCAGGATAAAGGTTGAGGAGTCCGATTAAAAGAAACCCATCAAACATGACTGGTCACTTCGGCTGGGCAACGAACGGCAAAATTTAGAGATTAACGGATGAGTCCATTAACGAACGGCAAACCCCGTTAATTTGAAGTTATAAATAAACGAAAATGGCCGTTCTTGAAATCTCAACTTACACTTGCATGCAACTTACAGAAAACAAATATACATGTATCTAATTAATATCATTTTACCGTAAAGGTACTTCAAAGTAAGATTGTGGGAGTGATGAGTTAAACAAACCTGAAATAAAAATTTCTAAAGGGATTGTCCACAAAATTCAAGGTGGCTCTTTCTCACATTGCACCAACACCTTTGAATCTTTACTGACAAATAAATCATTACTTACTTACTACTACTTAATGGAAAATCGTCTGGAAAGATGTCAAATTTGTTTAACTTGTTCTGTAGAAATCTTTAATATTGCAGTGTATGTACAATAAAATAAAAATGAATTAAAAGAACTTTAAAATATATGCAATATTTTCATCAAAATATACTGCTTTAGTTAAATTTATACCTTGTGTTTTAAAACTTTGATAATTTAGACATTTCAATGTAGCATTATAGTTACAGCTTGAAATATACAAAACATGTCTTAAAAGCTTAATGAAAGGCGTGAAATTCGTATTTTATATTCAATAAATCACCAACTATATATTCAATAATTCACCAACTATCTGTTTAATAACTCACTAACTATATATTCAATAATTCACCAACTATATATTCAATAATTCACCAATTATCTATTCAATATCTCACCAACTACCTATTAAATACCTCACCAACTATATATTCAATAACTCACCAACTATCTATTAAATAACTCAAAATAAATATTGAGCGAGATAATGGCCCCCTGCCGTGACAGAAACCCGACACCCATCCGTTTTGAGGAGAGACGGATTCAGGGTCTTTTCGGTCTAAAAACGACTCTCTTATTAGTACTAAAACAGAGTCGGGCCGGCGCCCGTTTTTGTGGTCGTGCGGGTCGTTTTCAGACTCTAAAACAGCGTCGCTTGTTCTATGCGGGTATCTATTCAATAACTCACCAACTATCTTTTCAATATATACTCACCAAATATATATTCAATAACTCACCAACTATTTGTACAATATATACTCACCAACTATATATTCAATAACTCACCAACTATCTATTCAATAACTCACCAACTACCTATTCAATACCTCACCAACTATATATTCAATAACTCACCAACTAGATATTCAATAACTCACCAACTAACTATAAAATAACTAACCAACTATCTATTCAATAACTAACCAACTATATGTTCAACAACTCACCAACTTTATGTTCAATAACTCACCAATTATCTGTTCAATAACTCACTAACTATATATTCAATAACTCACCAACTATCTTTTCAATAACTCACCAACTATCTTTTCAATATATACTCACCAACTATCTATTCAATTACTCACCAACTACCTATAAACTCACCAGCTATCTATTCAATAGCTCACCAACTATCTATTCAATAACTCACCAACTATCTATTCAATAACTCACCAACTATCTATTCAATAACTCCCCAACTATCTATTCAATAAATCACCAACTATATATTCAATAACTCACCAACTATCTATTCAATAACTCGCCAACTATCTATTCAATAACTCACCAACTATTTATTCAATAACTCACTAACTATCTATTCAATAACGCACCAACTATCTATTTAATAACTCAGCAACTATCTATTCAATAACTCACCAACTATCTCTTCAATAAATCACCAACTATCTATTCAATAACTCACCAACTATATATACAATAACTCCCCAACTATCTTTTCAATAACTTACCAACTATCTATTCAATAACTCACCAGCTATCTATTCAATAGCTCACCAACTATCTATTCAATAACTCACCAACTATAAATTCAATAACTCCCCAACTATCTTTTCAATAACTTTCCAACTATCTATCTAATAACTCACCAACTATCTATTCATTAGCTCACCAACTATAATATTTAACAACACTCTAGCTTTATATTCAATATAACTCACTATAACTACAGTGATAGCCAGACAACAATGGAATAGGAAAACGACATCATAGCAATATCGAACTAAATTTCATGTTGTTACAAATAGCTTTACTAGACACTTATTAAACAATTTATTTAGTTATGTAAGTCTATTTACAACGCACAATTGCTGTGTCTCATGGCCATTGTACTTTAAAAGGTTATAACGTGATTCTAAAAGTCGTCTTCCTATTTCAGAGTTTTCTGGTTTTCACTGTATTTATTTAATGACTCACCAACTATCAACGAAACCAGATTGTTTTTCGTCTTCAAGGCGGGTAGTGCTTTCCACCTGAAAAATACGTTTTTTATTAACAAATTTTTCAATCTCTTGAATTAATTTTAGAGATTTGATAATATGAACTTTATCTTTAAGATATTTGAATTTGGCGCCTTGCAAATTCAACCAACCGCTAGGGGATCAGAAGGCGCTAGTATCGGCTTTGGCAGCCATTTTCAATTGCTAGTTGCCGGCAAAAAGAGCACAAATTTACCAAAGGAAACTTTCAGCACTGATCAAGGATCACGGACTCTCCTAATCTAAAGAAATCTAAAGAAATGCTTTCAATTATTGGACACCTTGTTTGCCAACTGAATAAATCAATGATTTACCACTAATCTGTGAATTAATAAATCTATGATTTACCACTAATCTGTGAATTAATAAATCTATGATTTACCTGAATCTGTGAATGAATAAATCTATGATTTACCTGTAATCGTATGCGACTTTAACCGAATCCTCCAACAGGCTGTAAATATTAGGACAAGTAACGATATTACCGGGGTCAGCTGCCTCCTAAAATAGTGATAGAATTAGCCTAAACAGATTTAATAACTTGGTAGAAACTTAGAATAAGTAAACATTGTTAAATTTAAGTTTAATTTGAATTTTAAAAATAATTGCGTGATAAGAAAGAAGCATCATCATTTCTCAATATTTTCCAAAATATTGGAAACTTCTAAGTAAAATTAAAAGAGAAGTAAAGAATTGTTAATTGAGTTCAGAAGTTCATTAAAGTTTAATTGTTTGTAAGTTTAGTTTCAGAATTTGACAATAAAGATAGAAAACCTATCAGGTTAGAAACCATCTGGAAGTTAATATGCACAAAATATTCATAGTTGGAGGTTTCTTATTTTCTTTATGCAAAGATGTTGACAACTTTGGTTTTATTTGATAAATGAAATATACACAAAATTCTTAATGTCTCTGGTAATATTAAACCAAAAATAGACAAACCACATTTTGAAAATGCCATGACTAGGGGAATTTTGTGATAATTTTGCTTCAAATCTGTAATAGTAGGTTGACAAATGAATGTCAAACAGTTTTTTAAAGATCAAAGACCGTGTAGGGCTGGGTACGTTCCCTTTTTTTTCTAGCCGTTTCGTTAACGGTTAGTTCAGACCGTTAAAAAAAAAATCAGTTAGCCGTTAATTTTAAAGTTAACATTTGAACGTTTGATTTTCCGTTATTTTTTAATACCGTTGGTTGATGATCTCAATTTTATTATCGACGTTAACGGAAAATTTTCAACAATCGTTAACGGCTCTAGCCGTTAATGGTACCATTATTAAAAAATTAACGGCGCTAATGGCGAAAAAAATTCGTTAACGGTTTATAAACACTGCATTTAAACACATCAAAAATCGAATTTTTAAATTTTGTAAGAAATTTTTTTTTTGCAATTTTAATAAGAAAATGACGAAATTTACCGCTTTTAGCTTTTTTGTTAACGTTTCAACGATAATTTTTTTTTCAAAAAGGGCTAATCCGTTACATTAACGATTTAGAAATTAACGGTTTTTGCCGTTCGTTAACGGACTCTTCCGTTAATATCGAAATCCTCCGTTTTATTAACGGAACTTTGCCCAGCCCTACAAAGACGACATTTCAGATTTCTCTCAACGATTATGTTTTAATTATTCCACCCTGTAGATAGAATTCTTATCAGAAAGAAAAATTAACGAAACGATATCTTTCCTTGACAGAATTTTCGTTAGTTTTCAAAGAGTTTTTTAACAAGTTAAACATTACTTAAACCTTACAGAAAACCCACACAAAGAAATTGAGTCATGGTGGAAAATATAAAATTTATAATTCCTATATCTTTGAAACCTGATGGTATAAACCTTTTATATTTCAATATTAGATTATTTGATGTAAAAAATTCATAATTTGAAATAGCTAAGGTCTATAAAGAGACATTGGGTTGCAAAGATCTATATGGATTAAAAAATCAGAGTTTGTGACAAAGACTTGAGTCATAAAACACTTAAAATATCAATAAATCAACATGCACACGCTTACGTGGATTTTACTGGCACGCAATTTTAAGCAGTTCTGCGTAATTCTGCGTAATTCCGCGCAACGGAATTCCGATTGGAAACCTTACTCACCATACAAAGACCACTTTTCCCTTCACATGTATAGCACTGTAGACCTAAGCTTAAACCAAGGTTTAGAAAAATAATTATTATTCCTAATCCAGGCATTCTCTACAATCTGATATCTAAAATATGTCCGATTATATTCATAATACAGGAACTCTTTCACTTACATATTTCTCTCTTATTTTGATTAAGGAACTCGGTTAAACCCCGGGAATGTTGGAATAAAAATTGTAAATTATGTGAGTTGACTTTTATAAAGTCAGGCAACGCTGGGTTTACAGACAGCCTTGAAAAGTTATAATTAACAGGATTCGCATTGATTTTTATCTTAAATTGTTTTGTTTCTAATCGTAATTTTTCATAATTTGGTTTGATTTTTGAAAATATCTAATTCGTAAAGTTTCAAGATTATTAAATTAAATGTGATTGAATTCAAATTGAATTTAAATTGGTTAGTCCAGAGTTACAGATTGAATTTAAATTGGTTAGTCCAGAGTTACAGATTGAATTTAAATTGGTTAGTCCAGAGTTATGAAAAATATAAATATTTTAAAGCGCGATTCCCTTCTTCGTAAAATTCAATTTAAAAACATTTTTGATTTTTTGATTTTTTTTACACCGACAGTTACAGGAGGGGAGGAAGGCCAGCCACAACAATTTATCGTCCGAGCCACCTCGAAATCCTCGTCCTTCGCTTATTATGTGTTTTTTTTAGTTTCTAATTCTTGAAGATAAAGCTATCTTTTAAAAATCAGGCAACGTTAGGGCATTAAATATGGACAGTATTGCAATGGTTACATCATGTTGCTTCAAAGCCGTGAGACGGTGAGAATAATGTCAAACTTTATTTAAGTGAAACTTAAATCTCTTCTGCCTCCGTAATGGCTAACCTTCGTGATACAAAATGAATAGCAAAATATTTGGCATACATCTGTCAATCATTTTTCCCCATGGAACCACCTGAAACAATTCTGTAGTATTCGCTAAAATTAACAAAAAAAAGATTAAAGTTCTATAAACTTGGAATTATTTGCGGTATTCTACACTTAGGTTATCTGAAAATACGCGTAAAAAAGGTGAATATTTTTCAGGACATTGCACTCAAAAACTTTAATTCTACTGAAAGTATTTTTTTCGATTTACAAAAATTTAATATTTCGTTTATGCTCTAAGGTGACCCAATTCTTAAAAAAAATGTTTTATCTTGGAGATTTGAACACTTTAAAAAGATAATATTCGACGGACGAGGATTTCGAGGTGGCTCGGACGAGAAAGAAGGAGAATGTGGCTCGGACTAGAAATTGTTATGGCTGGCCTTCTTCCCCTCGATACAGCATGCAAACTTATCAATAATCCTTTTTTTTGTTTTCTTAGAAATACAATCTCATATAAATCACTGCTAACTGGACGTAAATTTACTGGTACGACTTTGTGACCTCGTAGCTCCTCTAGTTTTGATTTTACGCCCAATTATGTGGAAGGCAAAATTATCCGGTTGAATATAGCTCTTTGATAAGAGGAGACTATAAGGAGTTCTGATTAAGAACAATGTAACGTGCAATTTACTTTAATTTAACCAGAAATAGAATTTTTCTATCTTTTAATTCAAACTATTTGAAAATCTAAAAATTAAATGCATTGTTTAAAATACTAACGTTCTAATTTTTTATTAAAACAACAAGAAAACAAAATATATTTTGCTGATAAACATGTATAAAAGAAATATTAAGCAGGATCATTGTCTGTTTGTTTGTGACTGCAGCAACCGACCCAAACCTTAATATATTAAAAGTAAAAAAAAAATAAAATCTTTGAAGAAATTGAAAATTTTATTTTCCATTTTTAAAATAGTTTTCTTGTAAAATATTTAGTAAATATTACCCCTGATTGTTGTGGACAGTATCTAGGAGATATAAAATTTATTAATATTTGATTAGAAAGATATTAACAGAGAAAGCAACAACACTAAATCAACATTTGAGGCAACAAATAGAAAATAAACGAATTCAATTTAATTTTAAGGGGATCACGGTAAATTTAAGGCCCTGAGTCAAAACAAAGGCGTATACAGGGGGGGGGCAAGGGGGGTAGTGCCCCATAGACCTGTAAAGGGGGGGTAGCCCCCCCCTAGAACTCAAAGCTTTCACACTTTTCAAATTTTAAACCCAATAGTGAAGAACATAAAAAAATTAGTTTGCTGTTCATTCAGTGCACTAAGTAGATTGTATACGTGGACCAGAGCCACCATGACAGAAGTCCGAAATAAAAATCTGTTCAGAATGCACATTTATCCTAATTGGATGGGCGCTATCAGGGATAGCAAAGTAAAACAATTATTTTTTAATGCCAAGCCACGAAGGTAGTATAATTTAAAGACCATTTCTTGTTTTTTTTATTTGGATTTAATTTACTTTATTCATTGCACCGCCGTTTTGTAATCTTTCTTTTTATTACGAACTAGCTGAAGTGCCAGGCGTTGCCCGTGGAATTTTTATTACTTATAATGTATTCTTGAGTTTCTTCACTAAAATTCAGCCCATTTGATTTAGCCGTCTGGCTAGTCATGAAGATAAATCGGTATTCCAAATATCGAATTTTATAAAACTACACTGCACCTGCAAGCTGGAGTACATGAGTATGTATCTAGGCTGTAGAGTTGCAATTCTATATTTAATCTCCATTGTTACTTTTAGCTCCAAGATTGTTGATAAAAATCATTGACTATTAACAGGAGTGAAAAAACAAAGTTTCTCTGTTGTTCTTTAAGTTAGAAATGAAGAATTAACTTAACATTTTCAGCTACAAAAAAATCCAAAATGCATACAATTTTTTAAATATTAAAAAAATTGGGTCTGTCCTAGTGAACGATTTTATACGCCCCTATAGTTTTTCGGAAACTCCTTATAAATGAAATGAGATAGATAGATAGACATTAGATAGAAAGATAGATAGTGAGGTGAAAGTCCGGAATGTGCGAAGAGGGGGTTTAGATCAGCTGTTTATAGCTGTCTCAGTTCGGCAGGGTTACCAACATTTAAAGTATTTCTGTTTGAGTTTCGTAGACCATAAGTTTATTTCAAATATAAATTGTTGAAATTTTAAAAATAAAATATTTCAAAATTTTTCACTCTTCGATTTGATACCAAGTAAATTTTTTTCATTGTATGTAGGGGTGGGGGTCGCAAATAATAAAAAATCTTACTTACCATCTAAAAATGAATATTGAGATTTAAAAATTTGAAATTCTAATTTTAGGATTTAATTTTAATTTTGTGCTTTGCTTTTATTGAAATTAAATTTTTAATTTATTTACAGGTTGCCGGTAACCCCGAGTTATGACTCAGTCAGTAGATTACTAGACATTGATAACTTTAAATTTACAGTTTACACTAAAGATTTAGTCTTGTAAAGAACGCATGGACAGCTTCTGAAGTTAAAATTGGGAAAAGTGAGAACTATAACCATATTAATGTTATTATAAGAATATTCAGGCCCTGTCCTAGTGAAACAATTCTGTAGTATTC